TATAGTGATAAACTCTGCCTGTAGCCTACTCCCATTCTTATTTTTTTCAAATCTTTTAAATAACATTGACCGGGACATTCATAAGTGTACAAACAATATACGCTAGGGGGAAGATGTAGACAAACTTGTACACATTCACTTTAATATGCATGAAAATGTTGATTCAAAATGCATTAAAAATAATATAATTTTAATGACCGAATGCAGTAATGGATAATTAGGGAGTTATAGTGACTATCATAACAACTCCCTTCTGTATATAGGCCATACATTTTTATGTAACTTTTACAGTAGTTTTTAATAGTATAATTTTTACAGTACAGTACTTTAGTTGAGCCTTCACAAAAACATGGAGAATTGTTTTTGTAAATTCAACATTTTTTATGTACACTTTCAGATGAGAGGGATGGGATACCAAAAATAGAGTAGGCCTACTGTTTGTACACTTGTTAAAATGTTGATATTTGTGAAGGACCCAAAAAATAGTATGATTGGGTCTAAACAAGTAAAACCTTGTATCATATGCCATTATTGATCTTGGCCTGTAAAAAAAAATTGGGACATCTTCCTAATAAAGATGATAATTAACAGCAACTATTATATCATATTTTGTTTTATCATTAATGATACTGTTACTATGGTTACTATAGTCTTGTCTTTCATAAAATAGAATGTTGTGATAGTAAACAAAATGATTACAAAATACAGTATACTACAGGTAGTGCAATTGCAATGTATTGTACATGGTACCAAAGAGTATAAATAGAACAAGAGAGGCAACAACGCTCATCGAGAGCGTAAAAAAACGATACGCCCATACGCAGCTAGTGTAGGACTCCAACTAACGCTTGTATGTGTTTTATTACCCAGTACTCCACCGCACACGGTCGGTTTGTCTGTTTATCTGTTCTCCACAAGATACTGTACTTTTGTTTTCTGCTTACTGAGTTTATAGCGGGCGTACTTATACCGCGCTGCGCAGGGCTGCACTGGGTAATAAAAAGAATATACAACCGTTAGTGGGCGTCCTACACAGGCGTGACGTTTTTACGAATGGGACTTTGCTCTCTTGTTCTATTTATACTCTTTGATGGTACCTAATAAACTTTAAGCATAAATATTGCATTGGCATGCAAGTGTATGAATGACCAATGCATCATGAATATCAGTATGACCCTCGTTTATGGATTTTAGTATGACCTTAAATTTGACCCTTGATTTATAATGTTAAAACAAAGCTTAACATGACCCTAATTATACAATTATAAATAGTTTTTAAGCTGTCCTTACACTAGCCAAGTAGCCAAACCCCAATAAAAGCTGAATTTTGCTCAATATTTTCATTCAAAATTAGCCAAATATCTAATGGAATTAAAGCTATCATTGCTTTTTCTTTTGTCCTGGCTAATCAAATTTCTATTTGGCTAATTGTTTTCATACCAAATTAGCCAAATTACTAATGTATTTTTTTGGCCTGCTTAAGCCCTGAATATGACCTTCATTTTTATCATGATCTATTATAAATGTTATTACTGTACAACACAGGTCAAATTCAAATTTATGAAACAAGTCTTGAACTTGACCTTTGTTTTATGAATACTGTAAATGTTTTCTACAATAATATGATCCTTGTATGAAAATTAATCTGACACTTATTTTTTAAGATTAAATCTAAATGTGATGCTTGTGACCATTATTTTCATAATTACAGTAACATCTCCCAATTACATTGGGGCGCTTTCGAATGGATTCGCAATCTTTATGAAGAGAATAATACTTGTTTTTCGTGATAAAATTTTGCACCCATGGCAAGGCATAGGCCTACCTGCTGTATCCCTGCTGTACTGTGCAGCACTGTTCTGTAGGCCTATCCTCAACACACCGAGATGCAATAAAAATTTAAACTCTCTGAATTATGAACTCTGTTCGGACGGAGGTGTACGTAATTTGGAGATGTTACTGTATGTCCCTTATTTTGTATTAATACTGTACATGACCCTTGTTTTATGTGCAATTATCTTTCTGTAAATATGACCTTATTTTTATTAATATTTTTTGAATAATTTTAATTATCAGTAGGTGACACTACTGTAACCATGGGGTAGGGCCAAGGGTGAATAGGGTTGCTAGCCACCCTATCCTTCCGAAAAAATATCCCTAGATATAGAGTAGGGCAAGTTCCTAAGCAAGTACAAGAAACAAAGTAACTTTCTTAAGTTGAAGATACCTTACTTTTAACCAAATAATATACTGTAAGCGATTTAAGGGAGACATTTGACCAAGCCATGTCTTTTAATGATAATGGGAAAAAAAAAGACAAATTAGAAAGCCTCCCTTTCCTCATCGCTTTTCCAGTTTAGATACTGTAAGGTGATAAACTAATTTTTTTTTTTTATTGGGGCTAACATAAAAACATAATTACATTTTGTGTTCCCTTGTAAGTAAGCCCCAACTATCAAATTATAAACGAAGGTATGATTGTTAGATTTTTAATGTTACTTATGGTAAACCTTTTAAAATATTAGATGCATTTATACCCTGAAGCTATAGCACTATTCGGCATAGTCAATCAAGGTGTCTGCCACTTGTATTTCAAACATTTTGTAGTGCGTAGGTGTTGATACTATAGTCTTTCATTTTAGGTTTTGTTTTGATTACCGTATTTATCATGACTTAAATTATGTTGGTCATGTAGTACATTTTAATAACACACCTAGAATTACAAAATTCTAAAGACAGATTTTATAATCCAAATGTTACTGTAGACTGTTAGACTCTAGTTCGGGATAATTATGTAACTTACAGTACATACTTAACTTTTTTTTTAATGAGTAGGTCAGATGAGAATGTATTGACCATAGTGACTTGGTTTTAAAGTCATTAAAAATACATTGGTAATACACTTGAAGTAGATTTTATAGATTTTATAATGTTAAGCCACTTTGTAATGTTTTGTTGCTAACATTCAATGCAACATACTATACTCTGCATACTTGTTACTTTATGGTACATGAAATGTTTGGATGCATACATTATGTAGATTTTTGCTTGTAATTATGGGTTGTTCGCAATTATCAACATTTTAACAAGTGTACAAACAGTAAATACTTGTTTTCGGTACCCCCTCCCTCCCCTCTGAAAAAAGTTTTGATTTTGCAAAACCATTCTCCACTTTTTTGTGAAGTGAACTAAAGCAATGTAATTGGTTCCTTAAAAATGAATATCAATGGTTACATTATAATTTTTACCATTATTTTACATATTGCATGTTATTTTAAATCAATAATTTTATGCATGTAAAAGTGTACAAATTTGTCTACCCCCTCCCCCAGCATACTGGTTGTACACTTGTAAAAGTGTTGATAATGTTGAACGACCCCTTAGGGCGTGTTGACTAATGGTAATACCTAAATTTATATGAAAATTACTTGAAAGTTAATTGAGATACTTATAAAACATTATTTGTAGCAAATAGTACCTCACTGTTCTTCATATAATGCTATGCTTCTCAACATGTTCCCATGACTCGGGCCTGTTTTGAGATTTGATTGAAATACCTGTATCATGCGTGGAATGTGCACAAGTCATTTGCGATATGTACAGCAGTTTAAAAATAATATCAGTGTTTGTCATACAGTATTCGAAAGATTAGCAGACTCTTAAGCAATTAATAATACTCAACAAAGTGCAGACAGCAGTATATACCCACTGGCACTCAAATTATGTATTATTCCCAAACATTTGGTTGCTGGTAATTGTTGTAGGGTCGTCTGGCATACCTGTACATGGAAAAAAAAATCCCAAAGAATGATCAAAATAAGAGCATTCATTGGATTGAAATTAAATTCAATACTTGTACTGTAATTGCAAATCTGGATTTAAGATGAAGTGCTGAAAATTAAAAATGGCTTAACAGTTGGCGCTGTTATGATTTTATCAATGGTACGGTAGCAGTACGGGGCAACTTCCTCTTTCCTTCCCGAACTGACACAGCACTGTACTTACAAATCAATAACGTTACTCAGATACATAAATGCTATCAGTAAAATTACTCATTATTTCTGGACTTCGTCTCCTAGACCTTAAAACTGCTACAACTAGATTTCTACATACTATATCCTATCAGAGAGAGAAATTAATTTTAATATGTGCTCATTTAGACAAAGAAGCCAAGTTCAAGGAGATCTGGTTTTACCGTAGGAGCTTTCTTAACGCTCTGCCTGCCAAACATGGAGATCTCTGTGTTTGGTAACACAGCGCTTGACCACCAAACATGGAGATCTGTGTTTCAGGTTTTTTTACGGAATCCGATAGATGGGAGTAATTACCGACCTGTACTAACAATTTGAATACTATATTCAGTCTGGACCGTAAGAATTTTACTATTTGTTTGTTTACATTGAGCGTAGAAGTAGTGATGTACTTTCACAAAATTGTGATTATCTCAGTTTTGTAGTGCGAAATTGTGTAAATCTCCAAAAGTGAGTAATATTCATTTTACTGTTTAACGGGTCACAGATTGTGATTAGAATAAAGTGTTTGGTACCATTGTAAAGCTAAGATGTTTGTAGTTCTTGTAGTATTTATTACATGCCAATCTGATCACATACGCACTCTCAACGAGCTTTGGAAAAGTGTTAAAATTCACTAAAATGTCTGGTGGTGGCTAATGCTATTTTTTCATACCCCTGGCAGTCAGAGTGTTTTCCGTCTAACATAAGATGCTCAGGGCGCTCAATATGTGTACACATCCAATTGTATTTTTCTTCGCACGTTAATATATAAACCAAAGGCGGCTGACTTCAGGGTGAATACTTAATAATACACTGTACACTTAGTAAAAACATGCAAACATCATGAATTGTGGTTTAGCAAATTTTCAGGATACTAACCAGGACTAGGAGGCTTGGAACCCCTGGTTTCTTGAATTCAAGTGTTTAACAGAATGATATTTAACTATTTGTCATATTGATTGTTTGACATTGATTTTGTTTTCATAGCCTTTGACATATAAACTTCAATTGACCACTGTCAACGCAGCTAAATTCCCGGAGAGCGCGTGGAGATGTATGTTTTACACGTTGTCCTGGACATACGCAGCTTACGTTATATTCTTTTGCGGATACCGAGTCTTTTATGAACCAAACATCATTTTCAAAGGTATGTATTACAACAAGCACACAGACAGAACAAGCCACTAACCATTGATTATGTTGGAATCCCAGTTTTTACTGGGTGTTCCTTCGAGTTGGTAGACCCAAGTCCTCACGTATAAAAGTCTCTAAACCTTATGATCCTGTGATCTCAAGTGCACCTAAAATGAACCTAATACAAAGGGTGGCGGTTTCCCTGGTGTTATTTTTGTCCTGCAGCCACTCAAAGCAGGAACGTAAGATATTGCTATTGGTGGGGGATTGGTAAGGGGCTGTCTGTAAGGGGGGGGGGAGAGATGGTGGGATGGGAGAATAGCGAGAATTGACCAACTGAGATACAGTCAACAAGGCATCAGAGCCGGTTTTTCGATATAAACGGTTTTGATTTTTCATTACTATGTCAACTTCAGTGCCCAAATACTGGGCTAATGATAATTTATGATTTCTTTTTAAAATTTTTAATACAGTTTTTATAATTTTATATTCAATGTATTATTGACTTTCTTAAAAATTTGGGTATAGAAATAATCCCACTGGAAATCAGTTTTTGTGGGGGAAAAGACACTATGTTATGATCTGGCAGTTAAAGATTGCGGGAAAGGTAAATCCAATTGAGATGCATGATGGGTCATGTGTAATCTTAAGTACTGTACAAAAGTAAAAAAAAATATACCATACATTTCCTGATAATCAAATCCCAGGGCTGCCTTAAAGTACGGCCGACTCAACTAAATTTTCGTTCACAGTGATTGTTTTAAGTCGGCCCAGGGCCGCCTTACAAACGTTCACACTTCTCCTTTGGGCCGGGTTGATGAATTGCAAGACAGGAAGTTCGAGGCAATTGCATTACATCATGGCGGAACGGTAAATAACAACCTAGAATAAACACATGGAATTCGCGCGAAACATGAACCTAATTTCAAATATTGTCCTTATACTTTTTTCGATTTTTAAGCGTAGCGTTCTGCTTCATGATTATGGCGACGATAATTATTATAATAACCAAGGCCTATAATTAGCGTAGCTCGACTTTACTCTGTGCAAAACCAGACTCGCGATTTTGAGCTTGATAGGCCAATATATTTTTTCTCTACTGGAATTCTTCAACTGTAGAAACTTAAGCGTAAGCTTTGTATCATGTGGTATTTCCCCATGTTTACAACTTGGTTTGTGATGATGCTTATGCTTCGCACGGTGGCTGTGAGTAATAATTAGTTAGGCATTGAGACCTTATATAAAAACTTTTATTCAAAAACAATAGTTCAACTGAATACAATTTACTCTACAGTTTCCTTAACAATTTATTTCTCAATGGTGTTTTTTTCACTCAAGTCAGTTCAAATGATTGTTGTGGTTAGATAAAATCGACCGCAATCAGCGAACTTCGGCCGGCTCAGGTTTGGCTTACGTTCAGATATAAAGTTGGGTCGGCCCAGGGTAGGCCCAGGGCCCGCATTGCAGGACCTGAGCCGACTCAAAAGTCGGATTAACTTTAGGTCGGCTCAGGGCCGGCTTAACATTTATTGATTGTTCACACTTAAAAATTGCCGACCCTGGGCCGGCCCTGAGGCGGCCCTGGGCCGATGTAACTCTCAAGTGTGATTGGGCTCTTAGGCTACGGTCACACTAGAGTTTCAAGCCTGGCTTGACTCACCGCGGGTGAGATTTTCGTAATGTGACCGCATCTTCACCGACTTGCGCCTGGCGTGACCTCGATCTCAATCTACCTATCTCGATCCCGACTCAGCACCCATATTGACCTGGATTGACCCTGGCGTGACCGAGATTGACATCTCCTCATCGGCTGTCGACCAATCACAGTCGATGACGCCGTTGCCTTTAGAAGTTCTTGAATAAAAAACCCGCGAGCTCTTCATGTGTGTTCAATCAAGACGCAATCATTACTTTTCATAAAAGTTAATTCAAATTTTAATTAATAATAATGCGATCGATTTGGAGCGACCAGGAAACTGCTGACCTGGTAGGTTTGTGGGGCCAACCCGAGCTGAGAGACCAGATAGAAAATAAAAAAACAAACAACAAAACGGGAATTTTTGGCGTGCTTGCTGACAGATTAGCCAGTCTCGGACATGAGAAGAGAACGACGGCCCAAAATTCAAACAAAAGTGAAGGCATTGCGAGCCCAATACAAGCTGTTAAAAGATCAGTTGAAGAAGAGTGGTTCGGGCACGTCTGGTGTAAAATCTTTGATTGCGATCCACCCAATCACGCGCGTATATCGAATCCCGTGAAACAGAGTTGGCCAAACTCTCTCTCTACGGCTCTGCTGTTTCGACTTTCATAATTGGGAGGCCAATCCAACTAGTGTGACCGACCCAGAATT